CCCCCCCCAAACAAATCTGTCACTAACCCTACATTACACTCCGACTGTGTCATTTCAATCCTTTTAAACAACTACCAAATCGGTTTTGTTTTTATTCATCTTTTCTATCGATTGAGCCAATCCCCTCTTTAATTCAAATAACATTATTAATTACTATGTTATTAAAGTTATTGGAAATTCATCGAAATACAAGAGTTTTCAATATGAAGAAAAAATTCTTTCATACAAACTCAATGGATTATTTTGTTATCCGATGTCTATCAATAATCACTTGATCTAAATTGAATTGTGAAAGCGAGCTCTCACAATTCTGCTTGTTATAAGAATATACTGTAAATTTTATATTTTTTTTGTTTGGTTGAGCTTTATGAGCGCAGTGGTTTGAGAAGCGTGGGGTGGTGTAGCACCGAGGAAAATGTGCTCTATGTGCGAGAGGGCGTGTTCGTGGGCGCACGTATGCCTCGAGTCACGCCCCCTTGGCGGCAATCGTCTGGAGGGGGGGTACATTTATACCCCACTATCCATCCAAGCCTGACCGGATTGTGTTGTTCCCCATTCTGCTCTCTCTGCTCCCCTTTTTCTCTTCCTCCTAGTCGCTCTTTGAGCTAAACCTTCAACTAGGACATACGCATTTTTACCGGACAAATATCATATCATAAAACCCACACGATAACGTAATTTATCAAGTTAATCATGAAATCATTGAGGATATCAACAGTGACAAGCATTCATTGAGAATAATCTTTCAAACTTGCATATTTCAACATTTATACACCTCAATATAAAGAATGTTCTTTAAAATAATTAACAATTAAAAAAATGTGAGCGACGGAAGCATAGCATCTGTGAAGATTGAACTTTCGCAGCAATAATAAGTTGTAATGCAATATTGATATTGATATACTGATATTATATTATATTGTTTTGTTGTTGAAAAAAAAACTGTGTAATTTTAACGATTGATGGCCTCGGAAGGGGCTCTAATGGAAGCATTATGATATAAAATTTCGTTTAAATCAACGTACTCTAAAGTATACTTGACGCGATTAGTGATGATATTATATTGAAATAATCAAAGTTGGAAAACGATCATGTGCCGACATTTCTACGTTTGGGAACGCTATTAATAATATTTATCACAATAATGACAATATTTCGTGAGTGTATTGTGACGAGTTTTAACATACAAGTATTCTGGAACAAATATTTTCAATTTTGGTAAGTATATTTAATGATTATGTTAATTTGTGTGGGGCTGTAGAGAAGATGTTTTTTCAATCACATATGAAACGTATAATTCGAGTAGAAAACCAATCGAAATATGAATGTTCAGTAACACAGAACGAAATTTTCAAGTTCTTTATTAATTTAAGTTGATGAAAAATATTGTTAACTATCGGTAAACATGTCTGAACCCCTCTCATATATATACCCTTATTCATCTTGTCCAAGTGAAGTACTTGAGAAAAAACTCCCAACCACCTCACAATTTAAAACACACGCTCCCTATATATATATATATATATATATAGGTATATAGCTTTTGTTCTTCTCTTTAAATACATTATTTAACACATCGTGCGGATATGTATTGACCACTTTGAAGGAAAAATTGCCAAGTGTTTGAAATAATAGAGGCCCATTTTGTTTTTTCTTCCTCCCTTTTATTCATGCATTGAAAAGTTCAATGAGCTCTTGTGCATTTCAAAATGTTTGCTAAATATTGAAAGAGAAAGATTAATCACCATGCTCTCCTGTATAGCGCACTCTTATATTTCAAATTAATTTTTAAAATTAACATGAGAATTTATGAAGAACACATATACATAAAGTGGCTATTTCCAGCCATAAATAGTTGGCGTATGAGTTAACAACATTTGTTGTTTATATTGGTGAACAATTTAAATAAAGACTGTCTAGAAAAATATAAGCAGTATACGCATAGTGGGTTTATTCATCAGGGTTTAGCGAGCGACAGTGGGTGTATGCACTGGTGGCTAATTTGTAGGCGCAGATATACGATAGCAGGCAAACGGCAGTCGTCGGGGCGAGTCCGTGCCAACTAATTTGTTTGTCATAAGTTTATCGTTATTTATGACCTGACCCTTGTATAGTACTCATGCGCCTTCACGCCTTTCTGCGTATCATCATCGATCTCAATTTCTCTATTTCCACTACACATTTCCGAATCTATCAATACAAACAGATTAAATAGAATAATACTTAATGTTTTTCATCGTTATATCACTGGAAAAAAAAAAAAAAAGCTAGACAAATGAAATGACAAATGACAATCAAATCTTATGGCAATTGAGCTAGCAAGTGTGCAGAAAATATATTGCCAATCAACTGACTGACTGACCCAGTAGATAGCCCAGGGGTATATGCATAGATACGTGTATGTGAGGTATATCGTATCCGGTAAGGAAAGATTTTAAATGATAACGAGAAATACGAAAGCTGCGCGAGGCAAGTTCACAGAGTATAGGTATAAGGTTGTATATACACGTCGGATAAATTAAGTGGCCTGACGCACCGGTGAATCCAACATAATGTATAACTCAACGACGGACAAAGGCAGGTGCGTTTGAATAACAAACGTATATTTTATACATATAGTATAACTTTCAAAACATTTACACTCGTCGTAAAAGATTATCTCAAGCACTATATGTTTATTCCTCTACATATACGCATTCTGGAAGAATAAAAATATTTAGTCACTTTTCAGAATAATTTTTATTCCAGGTTGGACAAAAAAGTTATATGGCATGGTGTTTATACACCTTGTGGTATAAATTAAAAATGTTTTCATTATTGCGACACGTGGATCCGAAATCTCGTTATATCCATTTCCTGGTAGCTATCACTTTCACGTGAGAACGAAAGCCTCTCATTTCCCTATAACTATATAAAATAACAATCAAACACACGATATGAGACATTAAAAATAGATAATGATAGATTGAATGCGATACTTGTGTAAAATGGAGAAAATTTTGCGTGGGAAATACAACTTCCATGTCTCACATTAAGGAAAAAATCAAACCCGGAAGTGCATGCATTCATTTATGTTTCATAAATTGAATGGCAGGGATGAAATGTCGGAGGGCTTCTTTTTTATGCATGGGGTGGTGAGGAATATGGAGTAGATATTGTCCAATGGGGGTAAACAGTCCGTGAAATTACCTTTTAAATATTAGATTATGATTAAATGTGTACTTAGCCTGGCAAGCCCTAAATGTTCTCAGCGGTGATCGCTTATATATAGTCTGGGGGAGATGGATATATACGTTGTGTGGACAGAAATGAGATGGCTCATGAAGGCTCGTTGGATAGAGAGATGATGCAAAACTCTCAACTCAACTCTCCTTTTTTACACCCTCATTTTTGTCAAAACCTTTTTCCACTGCTCCTTATCTCTCTCTAGTAAAAGTTGGTGATCTTAATCGTTCCATGCAACATCAGATAACATTGAAACCCTCTAGAAGGAAAATCACACTTTTCAAAATTATATATTGAATATTTTTACATATTCAGGTTTGCTTGGTGATCTCAATAACATTGATCGACATATACCATTTCCAACTCGAATGCCAACTAATTCCGATTGCTAACGCGTATGATTAAACGAAATGGAACGTAAAACCCAGTTGACATTATTGAGTGCCTATACCACAATACACAGCCCAATAATACACACCATTCCCCCCATTTCACCCCCATAAAGTAATCCCTCAATGGAAAACTCCAACCTCTTTCTTTGCCAGCTGGTATATATCCCCTTATGGCTTAATCGAGAATCGATGTCGATGATTTCGTCTTAAATAAACTCGTCACCTATCACCCCAGCAGCTTCACAGATTATTAGTAAGCTCTTTCACATACTCTCTGATTGAATTTTATTCTTCACTATATATATATATACCTTCTCAATCGAACTCATCAGTAGGCATATCACTCATACATCTATCTATTGTCCATCATTCAAATAAAACTTAATTTTTCAATAATTATGAGAAGAAAAAAAAAGTATTTTTTTTTGGACATCAACAACTTGCCTCAATAATATATTAGGGAGAACATTCCAAGTCGCGTCTCGGCAAAAGTCAACTTCTGGCTTGGACGTTTCAATGCCAACTTTCAAGAAACCCCCTGAAGCGTCTTTATTCTAGCTATTGGAAGCCATCATAGCTTGAGGGGTGCTTTTCATGAGCATATTAGATGAAAATTCCCAATGATGATGTGAAAATTTCCAACCGCTAAAGTGACAATAAATCTTGGCAAAATCATTCTTTCTTTCACATTTTCTTCTTTCTTTCGATAAAAACAAACACTCTTTTTTCAAATTATCTGGAAGTATTTCTTTGTTTTGATCTATTGTTGAACGCTTTGATAAAGGAAGTACAGCCAGCTGCTCACCAATTACATTTGAATAATGCCCCCTCTAGCTCAACCGAACGGAAGTCTACATGCCATACATCCAAAAAAAGCAAAAAGTAAAGTAAACCAATTCTTTAACTCAACGAAATGCCATACACAGATTATATTTCATTTGATATAAAATAGTAATTGGCATTTATTCATTGAAAAATTTTTAAAAATTGTAATAATGCCAGTAATTATTTTCATATGACTTTAAAATATGAATTAATTCGCGATGTGATTTCTCATGTATACGTAACGCTCATAAATGTTGGTTCGTGTGCCGGTGGAACAAAAACGAAATTCGACAAAAAATCCCTATAGTTTTGTAAGTAGAATAAAGGCAACGGCGGGCACGCGTGCTCTCGACCTAAGCGTCAGCCTCCTTCTTTATATTTTCCTCCCTCAGCATTCACCCGTTGATTCTTCTCGCCGAAAGACTTCCTACCTTTTCTTATTGCTCCCCCGTCCTTTCTTATATATCGGATACCATGCAAATGGCACACCAAACTTCCGGTATCAAATTCTCAAACTCCCATGGTTTTCATCCTTTTTTGTACAAAAATAATCATTATTATAATAACTCGAGTCGGTTGATGGATATAGGTCTAGCAGAGCCCTAAATTTGGCCAAGCGGAAGTGTCAATTGTACCAGTATGTATATACAAGCACGTGTGCATGCAATACCAAACACTGCACCCATCGACTTCTCTTATCAAAACTATTATTTACTCAAATTACAATCGTTCATTTGCCTATATATAAGATTAACGTCTAATTCTTCTCCGACTAATTCTTCAATTGTTTTCACACTATTTATCCTACCCTGTGTTCAACGCTCAGAGGGTGTTATTGTTAAATACTACATTGTTATTCCAATGCTATGTGTGTGCTATATAGGAGAAGTGAGTGAGGCATCTCAGGTTACACTCATATTCTGCATGTTCTATTCTGAAGTATAAATTCTCGATAGTATAAATTTCAATAAAATTTTAAGGCTATTAGTAGCCTCCTGACGTTATTATCAAGTCAATTTAAAGGGAGGAGCAAATATAAGAAGGGATCAAGATGTTCGAAGTGACGTATGAGATGCTCAGTGTCTCTGGTTGTTGATCTCGACCCTCTCTTCGTCATTGTTCCATCCCTGACGGGCTATAGAGCTCTTTCGTCGTCAACTGGCGCGCGAAACCGTTGACGTATAATTAGCATTTGGGACTTGAGGGTTAGAATATGGCACGAGAAAAGCTCCGACTGAGGATGACAGCTAACACAATACCACTGCTATATCACCCCTCTCCTCGTTGCTCTTAGACCAACCAACACCCAGTAATATACACGTTCGTACATCCATTAAACCTCCTTCCTCATTCAGCTGTCTTACAAATTTTCATAACATCAACAATTGTCACAACTCAGAGCGATCCATCGATGATCACAAGAATTAAAGATTAGAATTGTATAAGTTGGATATATTTTTTTTTTTTTCATTTTTTTTATCTCGCTAATAATGGCATTGTTATTATCAATTGTTGAATCTTTCCAGTTATTGCAATATGGCGTGCAGAAGATAATGTATAACTTTTGGTATATATCGCTGACAAAAGTACTGACTTACGAAATCAATGTCGACAGGATATGAAAAGAATTTTCAATAGGAGTAGGAGAAAGCAAGTGTATTATATATAATATTCACCAGAAATAAGATGGATGTTCTCTTTCAATGGTCCGATTCCCTTTCTTTTTCCTCTTTATTGGCTTACTCACGATATCTCTTCAACACTTTTCCATTTAGCAATTTACAAGTTAACAGAATAAAGTGAGTGAGAAGGTTTTGGCAAAAGGAATTATAGAGAGGTGGTGATTGGATTCGACGGACCATTGGTAACTCCATCGGTAAACTTTGTACATTTAGCGTTCCACGCCCTTACCTCTGTTAATTCTCCAATTCCCCATTATACTATATACCTCTCGCTGCAATCCTTATCTTCAATCATCACTTCTACCGCCCCAATTTCATCTATATAACACTCATATCGCATTACAATTTCGAATTTCAATGTTAAATTGAAGCAGGCAAAATGCCCCCTAAAAGCGTACCGCTACATAAAGTGTCTGATTTATAAAATTGAAACAAATTGGTTAAAATTGATCCATAAGGGTCAATTATATATACTGGCGGATTGTGCGATAAACTACTCCCAACCTCCCAATTTTAGTATACGCATTGATAATTTCATACTCTCTTTATGACTATCTATGTTAATATATCTATATCTTATTTATCTTATTTTCTTCTATATTTGGCCACATTTTTTATAACTGCGGTATACCTCCTTCCCCTTTCAATCCCCTGGTACATGGAGACACTATTGTTGGGTGGCATTTAGACGACAGTTGCTGCCCCGCCATCGTGTTATATTCTATAGAGCCACAGGGGCGTTTCAGTGAGCTCCCGAGTTCGTTTCCGTGGCTTGTTTCACTGCGGGAAATCGTCCGTTGCGCAGTTCCCCTTCAGATTGTATCAAACCTAGCACATACACTCGTGAACAATCAAAAGTTACTCCTGGAAAGGGGGCGGAGCTCGGCTCTCCAGTCTATTATTTCTCTTGATTTTTTTTTCCGAAAAAAAATTCTTTTTCTTGGCAAATTTCTAATCAAATAAAAAAAAAAATTTGTTAAGCAGTAATATTTTCTCTAATGCCAGTAGATAAGTATGGCGAGCATGAGGTGGCAGAATGGAAGTAGGTGTATACATGTAGAGGGTGACTTGTCGAGAGCTCCAGGTTCTCCATTCAAATTCAACCGTCATTCCAAGTCCAAACAGAGCGTCGTTTTCAACTAGTGCAAACATTCTCCACTTCCATATAAATTCACCTCCAAAGTCGACCAATCAGAGCTATCTCAATGTAGCAATCCTTATATACAGTTCTGACTGACCACTTGGCATTCCATTCAGTCAGTCTTCTTTGAGCTCAGTGGCATTTGTAAGTTTGGAAAAATAAAGGCACTCTCATAGAAGAGAAAGAAAAATCTATATGCATATAAAAAGAGCTCACTAGGCGACTCACTAGTTTGATTTCACAAAAGCGTGAAGAAAATATTGTATTGTAGTACATTCGATGAGGAACACAGGGATTTTCTTTAGCGAAATTTTATGATTTTATCGTTGATGAAATTAGTGGTACAATGAATGAAAAAGGGAAGAATTTCTGGGCAAGTCGGAGCAAATGTAAATAGAACGTTGGTCGGATCAAGCAGAACCAATAGTGGGCGGTAGCGCGCACGAGGGAGGGTCATACTCTGAGTCAGCCCCTGAGTAAATCCCTTGGAACCTCCTACATCTATTTTCTCCCTCCCTCTCCCCCTAGCGTCCTTTCCATCTCTCACTTCCTCTCTCTCTCTCTCTCTCTCTCTCTCTCTCCCAATCAATTTTGCTCATCTCCAACGTTTGACCCTCACCTCAACACGGCAAATAACCTAATGGTTGCTGATCATAAATAAATAAAGATTATTTAGCTGATTTTCATATTAAATTTGTTTTTCTATAAATAATGAAGCACCCGACAAAGGGAATTAACACACATTCAGTTGTGAATTTTGTTGTTGATTTATATATGATTATAAGACGAAAATATAACCTTGTTTTTACATTTATTTTTGCAGATATTGAAGAATAAAGAATGCAACCCTTGGAGCGATCAAGTAACAGCGCAATGACGACCGATACACTCCCAACAAATCTTCCGCCGCCAGCAGAGGACTCAAGCAGTTCAAGAAGCTCTCCAACATCATGCAGAAATTTATCAACACTCACCTTTTCAATAGCAAAAATAATGGAACCTGATCGACGGTTAACATGTGATATGACCGCTTCCACTGAGACAACCATTCGTCTTCGGCAGCCATCATCAAATATCCAATCACTCTCTTACTCGGCGCACTTGGAATCAGCATTCAAGAAGTACGTACCTACATTAAGACATCAGAGTCTTCTTCAGCACTATCCCCTGCTGTATTACCATCCAAATCCCTTGCTGAGAGTTTTTCCGCCAAGTGGAACAGTCCCAGCGAGTAATAATCCAACGCAAACAGTCGAACATCCATCGACATCTCCATTATCACAAGCACCACAACCACACTCTGCCAATCGATTGGAAGCACCATCAGTATCAGCATCAGCATCAGCATCAGCATCAGCATCAGCATCAGCATCAGCATCTGCATCTGCACCAGCATCAGCATCAGCATCAGCATCAGCATCAGCATCAGTGAGTGAAAAAAAAACATTAACACCAGTGCAATTAGCCCTTTCAATATCATCAAGTGGCGCCCCATCATCTACAAATTCTGCACCCCAAATTGGTCAACAGCTATCAACCAGTAGAGAAATAAATGCAAACAAGCAGAAAACATTTGCTTGCCCCGAGTGCGGTAAGGTATTCAATGCCCACTACAATTTAACGCGTCATATGCCAGTGCACACTGGTGCGCGTCCATTCGTCTGCAAGATATGTGGCAAGGGTTTTCGTCAAGCTAGCACACTCTGCCGTCACAAAATCATTCATACAGCCGAAAAACCACATAAATGTCAAACGTGTGGTAAAGCTTTCAATCGTAGTTCAACATTAAACACTCATACGCGTATCCACGCCAATTACAAGCCATTTGTTTGTGAATTTTGTGGTAAGGGATTTCATCAGAAAGGCAACTACAAGAATCATAAGCTCACCCATAGTGGCGAGAAGGCCTATAAGTGTAATATATGCAATAAAGCTTTTCATCAGATTTACAATCTTACATTTCATATGCATACGCATAATGATAAGAAGCCTTTTTCTTGTAAAATATGTGGCAAGGGTTTTTGTCGAAATTTTGATCTGAAAAAACATATGCGCAAACTCCATGATAGTGGTTCACCAGTGCTGAGTACCTCTAATATTGGAGGAACCAATGGCCAGTCCCTCGTTGATAGCACAACATTCTCTCCAATTCATCACAGTGCAACGAGTCATGCCTTCGTCAGTCCATTTTTACTACCGCCACCCGGATCACATCAGAGTTATCTTACCAAGATGTTGTGACAGACTGAGGGATCTCACTATGTCAATAGAAAGAGTCAGTGCCCACTCTTTCTTGGTGCCATGGCTTACACTAGTGATGTTGAGCATTTGGCCCAGGCATTGAAGTGAGACCAGTCAATTTTCCAATACGATATCAAATCAATTACTTCTATTTTCTCATTACACTTTTTCATTGTATTTCTCCTTTTTCCCTCCCTACTTTCACTCGTTATGCCCCCCCCCCCCTCCTACCACCCTTCCTTAAAAAAAAAAACACACGCAGTATGCAACACCGAAATTCATTTTATTATAATCTTTATTTTTTTTCCCATTTTCCTCGAGGAGGTGCAATTATGACTGATTAAACATTTTCATTGTAAATAAACTTTGTAAATACGATATTTTTAATTGTATAGCAGAAGAAAACTTATGCCGGGAATATACATATGAAAATGAAATAATGCTTTTTTCGAACGAATTTGAAACTATTTCGTATTATGAAAAATTCACTAAAATGTATGGGTGATCGTGAGCGTAATTCGAATGATACAATGAATAACGTACGAATTGGTGTGATAGTAGTTTTTAAGAATACCTAGAATTGATCATCACATGAATCGTGTATAAATATACTTCATAAGAATATGATATATATAGGATGCCATTGAATCATAACTGCAAAAGGAAAGATCCTTTTTTTATTTATTCATATTATTTTTTTTTTGGTTTTTTTTTGTACGATTTCAAATACTCCAATGATTTGTGGAAGAATTTGTGAAGGATATATTTTACAACTGAATTATCATGCATAAAAGGTTAAATTACTTTTTGAGCCATTCAAAGGAGTTAATCACAAATCTTATACATATAAGCTACAAACACTGTACGTCCAAAGAGATGAGACAAAATGATGATTAAATAACAGCAAAATATGCATCTAAAAGAAAAATGTATATGTAGATTAAAAACAGATGGTAGCTACAAAAAAAAAGCATATTACATGTATACGTGTTTCTCATTGTACATAAAAACCTCATCCAAAGCAATAAATTAATGGAGTACAAAAAATATGAGATAATTTATTTCAACAAATGCGACAACCTTATATGCACCTTCAGCCATAGCTATCCATTGACGTAATAACGGCTTTGAATAACTGCGACTATCATCACTGTACGAACCTGTGCCTTTTAATGTGGATGGAAATGATTTATCTTATAGAGATGATGGATACTGAAAGAGAGTATCATCATGAAAAGCAGGGCATCAGCGCCGTGCAAGAATATAACAGAAGTGTCAAGCATCATTGAACATTGGTATATGTAAAGATGGGATCTTTGCGTTTAAGCTAATAGAGGGTGGTGTATATAGAAACGTGTACTGATAGGAGTTGATAGTGAAGGACAAGAGAGAAGGAGGGAGAATGGCATACGGTGCCGACGTGCTTTCGTAGTGATGATTCGCACAGATACACTCCGATACTCGATATATCTAGGGTAGGTATCTGTCCTCCATCCATTAAATCCGATCTCTCACCCAGACTATCGCACTCAGTGCCTCCCTCTTTACCCAGCCCGTCCTCTTTTTAGATACCCTCTCCGATCTCCGTCCACCACCAACCACCCGTTATCAATCTCACCAATACGCTCGTTATATAAACTCCAGAATGAGATAGGTACTTCAAGCCTTCAAACGCATCAAATATACATCTATATAGACGCATACTCGCATCTATTCACCGTGAAAAATTAATTTTCCAAGCCCATTTCCAACCTCCATATTTATATATATAAACTATTGAGGTAAATTACCCAAATTTTATTCAATATAAATGTACATTGTACAATTTTTTAAGCTCTATTATGGGTTTGTATACGAATAGTATATCTTGTACGCGTATACTGAAAGCATGGATCCAAAACGTCCAGAAAATCAGCGGGGGTTGTATACAAACAAGTTATTAAGCGTCGTTTAATGAAAATCACTGAGGGTATACTGTGGGTAGGAGGATTATTGACACCTGGACGTCGACTCACGCTGGGCTTCGAGTTGTTATGTGTCAGTGGCATTTTCCTTGAAACATTTATTCCTCCCGACCCATACCAACGCCAACGCTTATTCAATATTTTTTTTTCCGTTCACTTAATTTAAAATTAAAAAAAAAACATATATATATATATATATTGTAGTACAAATGAGATCCCTACTGTGCTATTTGATATTTGGATGGAGAGAAAGAGAGAGAGAGAGAGAGAGAGAGATATTAGGTATCGTTGATACTCTATATCAATGGTTTCCCTTATTATTAGTGCCAGTATGATTGGTTAAAACCCGTGAATAATGAGAGAACTGCAGGTTATTATGCTCCAGAACCCTTCAGGTTTTGCCAAAAGAGCTTTATAGAACACGGTTCAACACCTCTTCATTACCCTCTTGAGCCCTACCGCACATACACACCATCCGCCCGCACGCCCACGTTTCAACTGCGTTTTGGTCGCTTCCTCGATTACACTGTCATTGTGGGTTATTACAATCTCCCCCCGAACCCCATATTGTGTATAGATTCACCCCTCCTCCTCCCTCCATTCTCTCTCGTCTTTCTTCACCCTATTAAATTCCTCTCAATCGAATGAATTGATCCGTCAAATTTTTTAAAAGTTCACTCTATTGTTATGTTGAAGTTAGTGCAATTATTGAATTTCTTTTGGTGGGAAAAAAATTTTAATGAGACATCAGAGGTGTCCAAACATAGAAAACCGGGTACAGTCGGGTGACCATGATGGCAGCTCAAGAGACAGGATCGCCAGCTCACAGTCTCCATTGAAAATCCCCTGGTATTACGGCAGAGGGTTTTTTTTTTTTTTTTCCAACAAAGTGTCAAAGAAGGGGATATAAAGTCTGTTCTTGGTGCAAGGGGGCATACATTTTCGAATCTGTTTAATCTTGGTCCGCGGCGCATAAGTGAAAGCTATCTCCGTTGAATGTGAATTCAAACAAAGGTACAAACAAACCCGGGAGTCAAAGTTTCCACCGTAGTCTGGGTGTTAGAGTGGGCATACTCTGATTTCTCAGTGTGGAAAGTGGTGTAGTAGAGAGTGAGAAAAGAGACACCCGCAGCAAGTGTAAAAGTTGAGAGCTTTTGATGCGATGCCGACATTGCCGCACTGACTCGCTGAATATGTTGGAGCACAGAGCTTTTAATCCTGTCGACACTTGAAGTGTTTATCACTACACAATACTTGGACTATTTATTTTTATATTTCTAAAAAATTTCATTCTATTTTTCCATTGAATATCGAAATTCTCTGACGCCTCACGCCATTGTAAATCTACATGTTCTCAAAAATTACAGAGAAGAATAAAAATATGGCAGTGAATGGAGAGGTATAGATCCACTCAATTCGATAATTCGAGCGGACAGCCGGGCATTCATAATATATACGTGTACCCACAATCTTTTTACGCTCAAGTGATTTTTTCTGTAAAAAAAAATGTATGTAAAAAACGGTAGAGATAAAGGAATAGTATTTCATTCTTCATTGACAAAAAGAAACAGGAAAAGCAGAATTATTGTCGGAAAATTAGAGGCAAGTTAGTAAGTTAGTTTTGTAAAAATAAAATACGTGTAAAGGTACTCATAAGAGGCCTAATAGCGTTTGTGAAATGTTCAAGTTGAAAGGATGCCGACCAAGAGCCGGCTGCTCGGGATTACAGGGAGAAACGATCTGTAAAAAGGCACAACAATGAGACGTCCGGTGATAGAAAACGACGTGAGCGACACTATTGAGCGAAACGCTCGTTTTTCCTGTTTTTTTTTTTCCTTTTGAAAAAGCACTGTGTTACACTTTTCAGATTATTACAAAAGTGGTGTAAGGATCATTTCACTAATTCGCTTAACAACTAAATATCATTATTTTTCACTTACTAACAGTACATAGTTCATGCAGTGATGCAAAAAAATTCAAATTATATTGAGATTATCATTATATGATGCATTACTTTTTTTTTCTTCTCATTGAAAGGGAAATAAATGATGACCGGTGGGCATGTAAAGCACGTGAGCAAGGGTAAAACAAATGAATGAAGAAATTGATGTGATTTTTAAGGAGATGAAACCGAATTTTTTAGAGTGGGGTGAGAACATGCCGGGAAATTCCCAGTGTCACTCTCAGGCACCACTAAATACCGATCGACACGCGGAGCGTTAGGTTTCCCCTTTGAAAGCAGGGCTTATAACCGATGCCATTAAATTAAATCGGCCCCCAACACTTGTCAGCAGCCCATCGTTTGGCCTGTTTTCTACCACAGTTATAAGACATAACTTGGTTCTTAATGTCATTTCAATGAAACCTCTTGTACAGCCTCTTTGATATGTTTCCCTTGATTTTCTTACTCATGATAAATATCAAATAAAATGCAATGAATGGGAAAAAAACCATGGATGGTCCGTAATATGAATAATAATAATAATAGTAATAATAATAATACTGGATATGTGGGTGGACAGGTTAAATGTGGAGAGATAAAATAAAGGGGCAG